TCCTGAGTGTCCAGGTTTCACGCTGCTTTTTCCTAAGCCTTCTTCTAGGCACCAGAAAGAAGATAAAGGGAGTAGAAAATCAAGTGCTGTATTTTTCCCTTTTCAAAGAAAGTGTACATCCTGTCAGTTTTCCCTCTATAAATGTTCACCTCTTTAAACTACTGAACCCATGCTGCCAAAAAGCGGCACGTAAACCATAGGTCATATCTACTGCAAAGCCAGTATAATTCTAGAACTACTACCAGCTTAATTCAGCTGAAAGTAATGTGCAAAATGTGAAAAAGGATTCCTAAAGATTCCCTGCTTGAAAGGAAATGTTTCTTTCTTTCTTTTTTCTTGCTAAAAACAGAGGTTACACACTGGCAAATATTTTAAACAAATTAACAGTTAAGAAAAACCATGGATGTTCCCCAAATCTCTGTAGGTCATCCTACAGCATACCACTTCTATAGCCTTTAGAGTCTCTGTAAACACATAGACTGTCTAATTCTTCTGAAATTGGTGTTTTCAGAGTCATTTGTGCCAGCAGGATTTGGGTCAGTCTTCCCCCAACACGGGTCTGCATCAGAAGCTAAAATATCCGTCCCAGGACACACTGACGTGAGCAAATTACGTTCTATGTTCCACTATGCTGTTTGCTCTTGTGTCCATGTAGGCTGACTCACTTGCTCTCTCTTACAGACAGACACAGGCATAAACCAGCCTTAGTACAACGTATATAAAGGTAAATACCTCCGGCCTGGCAATTTATGAGATTTCACATAAATCATTCAGCAAACATTTGCTGAATCTGCTGAACACCTTTGGGCAATGCACTAGGAACAGAATGACAAGCAAGACTCATCTATCGTATGATGCTAACAATCTCACAGGTGCAGGAGGCTTATGATACAAAAGCCTTGTGAGTTTACCAAGGGCCCACATAGATCTGTAGTTTCTATATCTTTTAGAGATCCTGGAATAGTCATACTGGGGAAAAAGCGGGGGTGGAAGTATCTAAGATAGAACAGGAGGGTGCTGGTTTGACAATGATCCTATTGGACCTGGCAGGTTTGAATTGTAAACACCATCACTAATTGTCTGTACTTAACAGGCCCCACCTTCCATGACACTTGGGCCCAGCACTCAAGGGGATGTTGACAGGTTGGTCCTACCTTCTCCATTCCCAGCCCTGTCCCATTCTGAGCTCCCTTATGCTATTTCCACCTCTGCTTGGCCCCAGGGATGACTGGGCCATCTGCTTAACTCTGGTTCAGGCCTCTTTGAGGTCGCTGTCTCTCTTTGCTGTACTCTCTGGAACGGAGGCCAGCCACAGCTCTCTCAGTCCCTCAAACCCCACTCAAGTCTAATGACCAGAACACTCACTAGTCCAGAAAGCGAGTTGTAGTTATTGCTGTTAGTTGCCATGGAGTCTATTCTGACTCATGGCGACCCCAGGTGTGCAGAGTAGAACAGCTCCATAGGGTTTTCAAGGCCGTGACCTTTCAGAAGCAGATCACCAGGCCTGTCTCCCAAGGTGTCTCTGGGTAGGTTTGAACTGTCAACCTTATGGCTACTTGCACCACCCAAGTAGACACACATATTAATGACCAGTTTTGTGAGAAACGTCTTCCTCTCAAGCACACTGTCCTATCAGAGTTCAGGACTCCACTGCTCACTCTGCATTTAACCTTTCCCAGTGGGTTCTGTAGCCACACCCACAGACATTATCTGTTTCTAGCAGATCAGACAGAGGGAAAACAACTATCGCTTTATATTTTCTAAAGAGATAAAATTTCCTGATTTCTAATACACTGATGGTCTGGAAAAGCAAACACGTCTTTGCCTCAATCACCTCATTCCCTTTAAGTAAAGTGCAATTTGAAACCATACAGAGGTTCTGGTGCTGAAGGAAAAGCATTAGCATAAATATTGGCTTGGCAGAACTTAAACATTTTTCTTGCACTCACAAAACTGAAGCGCCTGCTTTTTCTTTCCCTTCCTGCCTCATGCATTCTCTGAACATCAGCAAAAAACTAGTCTTGTCATCAGAAAACTGCTCTGGCCCGACTTTTAAACTTGGCTGCTGGTACCTAGTGGAGTATTTATCAGGGATAACTATTTTTTACCTAAAAAAAAATCATTTAGTGAAGTAAAATAGTCAGCCTCCTAAAGAGAGGCTAAACCTCTGGTCATCTTGTTAACAGAGGTGGCAGATAACTGCTTATCTCATTTTAACAACTGGAAAATGCAATGTGAGATAGTCTTGAAGGCAGCTTCAAAATCCCCATCAGCTCACAGTATCTTAGTTTTCTTGTTCCTTTCCTATCACTCCCAATAAAAACAGGCACAAACACAGGCGGACACCAGCACTAAAGCAAAAATCTATCCACAGGCTGAAGGCTACAGCAGACTAAAGAAAGCCAATCCTTGGTCTAGGCATCTTATTTTATATTGTGACAGAAATTCTTATGTGTAATCCTAGTTTGAGTTCTTCTTGGATCAAGTTTAATATCTGCAGGGATCTAAGGTCTGTGCCAATTTATACAGTTACAGTTGTCTTAGCTTTTAACCAAATCACTGAAGCCTTTCAGAGAGGTGTCCTTCCTCCCCCCACCCGGTCCCCATTACTTTTTAGCTACAAATTTCTCATCTATGGAATCTACTTCCCACTTAGACTGAGAAAGACCCATACTGTTAGGTTTCAGAACACAATGCCAAACTTTATTAAGGTTAGCTATTTAAATTGAAAGGAGTTCAAAACTGCTGCTCAATGAGAACATGTGTGAAGGGCCCAGTCCAACACCCAGGCCCACAGCAGACTGTCATTACACATTTGTGTACTTCCGTGTCCACCCTTTATGTTTAAAATGCTTCAAGCTTTCCTTTCCTGCTTGTCCTTCCTTCATCCCACAGCACCACTGATGCTCTTGTTTACAGGTCTTGTACATGCTTGTCCCTCTGACTGCAGCAGGCTGCCCACTTCACTTTTCCCATAGATAGATGGTGGGTGACTACAATGAAATCTCACAGCACCTGTGCCAACCCCATCACAGCACCTGTCATACTTGCTCCATTGTAATATCCTATTTACTTGTGTTTTCCCCCTTTGACTAGAAGCTAATGAATGGCAGGGACCACATTTTAAACATTATATATACTCAATGCTTAGTTCATATTTATGAAATTCTCTTCGATAAATAATCACAATAGCCCGATCAACTTCTTATAGTTTTTTCTTCTAAATGGTAGCCTCAATTTTCTCTCTAAAGCAGGTATTTTCTTCCTCTAATATATGTCTTTAACTTCTAATACCACTGATAGCCCGAGAGAGAAAGGTGTTCTGACTTTAATTATCTCACTCTCTTTAAGTAAAATGAAATTGAAAACCATATAGAAGTTTAGGTGTTCAGGGAAAAGCATTAACATGTCACTCTAATGGCTCCCCAGGATCCAGGGCAGGAAGTCCAACTTCCTTAAGATGTCAAAGAAGGACTTTCGCATCAGTCCTCCACCTAGTCCTACCTCACACCGAAGCATCAGGCAAGCCAGATATCTCTTTTTTATTTTTAAAATAATAATTAAAAAAAAAAAACTTTTATTTTTATATTTATCCCCAGACTAAGTACTTATGCTACAGCCATACATACTCACCTTCCTTTCCCAAATACACCATTCACTTCCACCTGTGTAACCTTGCTTGTGCTGTGCAGAGTTTAAATTCTACTCACTTTGCCTAACTCAGATCAAATGTCACTTCCTACATATTTGTCCCTCCCTCCTCTCTGACCTCTAATCTGCTTCCGTAAAGATTACAGTCTTGGAAATCCTATGGGGCAGCTCTACTCTGTCATAGAGGGTTGCTATGAGTTGGAATAGACTTGATGGCACCGGGTTTGTTTGTTTTTTTGCCTCTCTGATCCCAGAGCACTTTGCTCCTGTCTCTAGTGATGCATGTACCATACTATCCATCTAGCTTTGGATTATGTTGTCTCCCCAACAAGAACATGAAATCCAAATGGACAAAGGGCACATCATATTTATTTTTTGACCCAGTGCTTCCTACAGTGCCCGGCTCCTAGAAGTTGCCTAAGAAATATTTGTTCAGTGAATAAACGGACTGTTGTGTCCAAGAAATTAAAAAACATTCATCATGGTATAGTAGTAATAAAGAAGATATATTTGATGTCCTCTTTCTTAAGAGAAAGTAGTGATGTGTATGGAAAAAACAGAGACAGAGTTCCAAGAATGGTTCAGAAATTGTTCCAAAATTCCAATCTGTCTCCAAGCACTGTCTAAGGCTAAGCTATAAAAATGCAAGAGACAGAAAAACCTCCATTAACGTAATTAGGATTCACCTCTATCTGCAAGCCATCTCCTAACAGCAGGAAGAGAAATGGAAAATAATACCATTGCAAGGATGCAGACCATGACACAAACTCCATGAATGTGCATGAAAACCATCTAAACATTTATCAAGTACCTCCTACCTGCAGGGTGCTGTGCTGAGTACTATTGTGTGTATGTTGGGGTGGGGGGGTAAGAAAAAAAAGAAGATAGCACTCCCAAGCACTCAAAGAGCCTATGGCTGCTGAGCAGCACCTACTTTTAACAATACTCTATACCGCCTCATTAAGTCCTTTTTGCTCTTCCAGGCTTATTTCAAAGGTCACTTCTTTTGAGAAACCTTGCTTGACTCTTCAACCCTAACCCCTCATTCTATACACAATTAGTCACTCATCCTCTTCCCACAGCACTTTGCCCAAATCTAGTGTAACATTTTCCCCTGACTCGTTGGGAGGAATGTATGTCCCTCCCACAAGACAGCGAGTCTTTCAAGGGAAGGAACACCATTTCTCTACCTCTGATTTATCAGCATTGAGCCCACAGGATTGAGAAAAATGAGATGCTTGGTCAGTATTAATAGAATTTCTAGTACCTCCTTAATTTTGCCCACACATTAAATATCCTTTGATTGCACCCATAAAAATAAACCAACTGTGATTATGAAAGTGCTTTACCTCTTTAAGAACCAGCACACATTTGCCTGGTCCCACCGACTGAGGTAGCTCTGCAATTCTTCCTTTGTTTAGGTAAGGGCCTGAGAAACACCTGTGGTTGATGAAAAGCTGAGGACAGCAGTACTTCCCGTTGACAGTACCTGCAGGGGAAGAGCAACACAGTTAGGATCATAACTCCCAGACCTTAGAGAACCAACAAAAAACTCAGTTAATTAATTCACTTAGTTGGCAAAACTACCCAAAGGATCTGTCAGATATCTTGGCTGATAGGAAATCTGAAAATAAAAAAGAAATGACTCAAAAGGATGTTATAACTGGGATGCCCAGTGTACTCAGAACTCTCAAGTAGAAAGCCTCATTGCGGTTCCAAATTGTGGCAGAGCAATAGAGAAAAATGGACAAGCTGCTTCTTTGGAGAAAATGCGCATCATCTTTTAACATTAGGATGTTTTTATATCCATAATAATATCTTAGAGAAATTCTGATTATTTGTTTCACTATATAAATATATCTGTTTATTCTACAGTATTCAAGACATGCAAAAAGATACAAAGACTGAGACAATGACAACTCAGGCATCACTATGCAGCCCAAGAAAGAAAACAATGGCTACACAACTAAGCTCCCCATCTGCCTTCCCAGAGGTAACCAATACCCTGAGCCTCGTGTTTATCATTCCCATGCGCATCTATAAACTTTTACCACGTACATATGTGTGTATCCATAAGCAATATATAATATTATTTTGAATATTTTTTTAAATGTTCTATAAATGGTTCTTTTGCAAACTGCTTGTTTGTTTGCTCAATGTTATGTTTCTGAGATACATCCATGTTGGTAAATGCATAACTAAAATGTTCATTCACTTTTCATTTTTGTATATTATTCCATTATATGACTACACCACAATTCAGTTACCCATTCTCCTACTGATAAACATTTAGTTGCTTCCAAATTTTCACTATTGCAAACACTGCTTCAATGACTGTCATTATAAAGTCTACTTCTGTATATGGGCAAGAGTCCTGCAGGTAAATAACCTGGAGTGGAACTTCTCAGCCACAGGGTCTGTATATCCTTAGCTTTACTCGACATGGCCAAACTGTTCTCCACAGTGACTGTGCCAATGTATACTCCATCAGCAATGTGTGAGAGTTCCCGTGCCCCCATCCAGCCAACACTAGATACAAACACTGTCAGACTTCTTCATTATGCCGATCTGATGGATGTGAAATGTACCTTAGACTGGCTCAAATGGGCATTTTCCTGATTATTCTTTCAACTGAGAAAGTGAACAGGGCAAGTAGTTGGTCTTGCTGTGTCTCAAGATGCCATGAGGAAAAAGTGGAATAATTAAATGACAAGATCTCACTCTGAAGCTTCTTGATGTCTAAGAGCAATGAATGAGGTTTCACATTTGACTAAGGGACTCACCTTCTCCCTTTGCCCCAAGCTCAGCTATACTAAAAGTGGTATTTCTGTACACACACTGCTGTTAATTTGGAATGGTAATTTAACAGTCTAAGAATGCTTCTTCTCATAAGGATTTCAACTAAGAACCAACAGGAAAGAGGAAGAAACGTTATTTCTCTGGTATAGAAGAAAAGGAGCCAAATAACAATTACAGACCATGAAAGAGTACTGACAAGGTTCTTTTAAAACCATTCTAAAGTTTGAATTCTACACTAGAGGCATAAAAAATTAAGTCCACAGCTGCATTTACATAGACAGTTTTTGTTAGGATTACCCCGCCCAGACCTTCAGAAAAAAACATCTACTTTTTTCTGAAGATTAGTAAGTCTACTCATAAAATTGCTCTCTCTACTACAAAGATAACTTCGACTAATAGGAGTCTTCCAATGGTTTACAAGCTTTAATTCTGGAATTTCAAGCAGGTTTGATTTTGGCTAGACAACAGAACTGTTAATCAAAGGTATAAACATGTCTATTATCATATTTGATGGTCAAAGGGTAACTCACATTTTCAAAAGTTTTTGTAACATTCAAGCAGCCAAAAGACACATGAGGAAATGTTCATCATCACTAGCCATTAAAGCAATGCAGATTAAAACCACAATGAGATACCATTTTACCCCAGCATTACTGGCACAAATCAAAAATACTGGAAATAACAAATGTTGGAGGGGCTGCGGGGAGATCGGGACTCTTA